TTTGTAAGAAAAATATCCATATTCAAAACGTAATAATCACTTTAATGTAGCTTGTGCTTACTGTTGTACACTGGAAGCAGTTCCGGGTGGATGACATATGAGGTCGGCTTTGCCGCTCAGAAGTGACGCACGCACAGCGTCACACACGGCGGGCTAGAGTGAGCGGAGGCCAGAGGCCTACAGTGAGCGGAGCCCGGCGGCTAGAGTGAGCGGAGAGGCGGCGGGCTTGCGGCAACCACATGTGACGACCCCGGGCTGGACTCCGCTTCGTCCACGGTGAAAGCCAATCCGGCGATCCACAGTGCGAAGTTGATGTATTTCCTCAGCGCGGATCAGCTCCAGGCATATCGTCCTCTTTTGGAAGGCCAAACAAAGTAGTTTCGCTTTCACAACGAAACACACAGCGCCTTCACGACATGGCGGCGGCGGCAACAACAATACTACAGCGAGAATAAAAGTTATGCCTTATTTCTTTGCGTGAACATTTGGGGTGGCGTTATGCAAATCTTCCCACATCCTGACATAGACATGTGGGGGCGTGTTAGAACGAGCCGTTTTAGGTAGGCGTGGTTGACTCATAACTTTTATAAAGAATATCTCTTTGGATTTGAGACTTTAGTCTTTGCAACTTTATAGATCTTCTATGTAAACCATCTTCTATGCACCAAGAGCTTGTAACACTCCAAAGAGAAAGGAAAAAAATTGAAATCGCATCATATGACCCCTTTAAGGCCACCTAGTTGAGTTCACTGCATTAAAAGAACCATTTCCCCCCCCCCTAACCATACATAGTATTACATAACACATCCAAAAAAATATACTTGTGTGTCACTGCAGATTGCGGCAGCTCCCTGCATCCCTCCATCATTTCCCATGTGCAGCAATTTACGTCAGGTTAGCAGGCTTCAAACCGGCAAACGTGTGTTTGGATTTGGAGAGAATACCTTACCGGCCTGAGTGGAGTATAAGAGCCATGATGGAGATGATCGACCTGTTGAACGGAGAGCTCACTGCAGTGGTTACTGTACGCCTCATTCATAGTTGAGGAAATGTGTCCTCCTTTACACCTGGCATAACATTCATTTTTGGCGATCTGCTCATGATCTGAGCATTCTTGACTGCTTTTAAATGTTAGCGTAGATCTGACAACTCAGTGAAAGTGTAAATAAAAAGCTAAAGTTGAATTTAACTTCACACATTTTTATGCAACGGTTCATTCATATACAAACCAGGACAAACACAGGTGTAAAGTGGACCAAACTGTCCTATAACATTTAGCAACAATGCAAAACTCTTTTCTACCTATTTAAAGCAGTCAAAAATATATGCGTATCCAATTGTGCAATTTCAGGCAATAGAACCACAGCTGACTGTGCTGCTATACAATGCGGAAGGGACACTTGTCCACATACCTCTGTTGGAGAAAGGCCTTGCTGATTATGCATAACTCTTGAAAAGGTAAGTGTGAAGTAAGTCTGAAAGTAAATGAATTAAAAGAAAGTGTGTCTAAACATTTGTGTATTTTTATGTTATTTTTCCGTTTCTGTAGGTTGTGCCAGTGATGCTATATAACAGGGGTGGCGAACGTCGGTCCTGGAGAGCCACAGCCCTTCAGAGTTGTGCATCTATGCCTAATTTTATGTTAAGTATTTTTATTCAAGTTCAAAACTGCTTCAAATTAGCAGACAACTTTTGTTAATATGTAATGTCTCTTTATGTTGAGCTGGACTTGAAGTAAAACCCTTGTTGACTCTGACTTGCTCACAAGTGTTTGTAGCAAATCATAATTGACAATCATAGCAGACTGACCAATTGATGCACTTTTATCTTCAGACCACTACCAGAAGCATCCAGAGAACCTTTTCAGTTCATCAGCTTAAATCAGTCCTTTAAGTACCTTAAGCATGTTACGAATGAAATGTCCATATTCTCTCTGAGGAATATGAATAATGCTAGTCTAATCAACTGCACAGTACAGCTCATCTAAAGGCATCAAGCCCATTTTATCCCTCTAAAAGTTCCATTTAAAACTATTACCTTGTCATGCATAACTCTGTTAAACACAACATACAAAGATTTATTTTTTACAGAAATTACTCTCCAAATAAATACTTGACACATTTACACAATACAGACATTCTTTCACTCAACTTCATTCAAGTCCATTTGTTTTCCTTTCATTTAAAATAAAACAATATTTTGGGTCTTTCATGCCTTAGTGTTCATAATGACATGACCCTGTGCGTCTTTTAACCGTACTCGTCCTGTAGGGTATTGTGTCTCTTGCCGTCCATCTGAGTAAACGGTTTTAACCGTACCATCTGGATATTCCCGTCTTTTGAAATCTGCAGTGTGGATCTCTCGCTGACCTGTGTTAAACTGGATCACCTTACTGCCATCCCTGAAAGTAGAATAAAAATGGTGTGACTTTAATATGTTAGGTGACTTTATTATAACACATTGAGGTGAGGGCTATGAGTTGTACTCACGGATTCAGTTGTATTATTGTTCCATCTGTAAGAACACTTTCCTCTCTTCCATCAGGATAAAGAGTCTTAACCATCTGATCAGGGAAAGTGATTTCCTTACGACCATCAGGGAAATGTTTTTCTGGAAAACAGAGTGGAATATTAAGACTTAAAATTCAGTCTTAAGGCTGGACCACT